AAATGTCTCTGACTGACCTTGAGTGACTTAGCGAAACTCCAAACTTGAACAATCTGAACATCTGTGGAGAGACATGAAAATGGCACTTCACAGATGCTTTTCATCCGATCTGACAGAGTTTGAGAAGATCTGCCAGAAAAAAACTACAACATATTTGTAGAAATTCTCAGAAAGATAATGTCAATATGGGTGATGGCAGATTAGAGCAACACAGCTAATAAAATGAATATCTACAATAAAACTTTCAGTTGTTGTCTGGTTGATGTGCTCTCTGCAAGCTGACTGGTTTGGATTCGGTGTAAATAGAATGCTATTAAACCTCAAAACTCTGCAAAATGTACCAATGCTGCTTTGTTCTGTATTTGTATATCATGGACTTTTAGGCTTACCGAGAAAACAAAGACACATCTAATGTCTTTGATGCTGCATTAACAAAAATCTTTTAAAGGGAGCGGCTGAAAGAGCTAATGACACGATCATTCACATCACCTTACAAAGTCTGACACTGAGACTTGATAGCACGTTCATCAAAACAAAGAACTAAAAGAGAATTAAAATCTCTACAGAGCTGTAGGAAATGGAGTGTCTTTTTGAAGTTTCACCATGAAGAATGAAACAGTTCAGATGATGTGTCATTCCTTCCATTGTGAAGGTGAAAAATATTTAATAGTCCAGTTTATATCCACCTTTCTGTTACTGTCACTAATCTAGCTGGGATTCATCTGTAAATAGGACTTTCTCCCATCATCAAATGTAAATGTAAATAAAAGAAATAAATTGTATGTGTTATGGAATTTCTCCCTTTATCGTAAGAGCTTCACTATAAGGCAACTGGTTCTTGAATTAACAAAAGAGCCAAAACAAAGAAAAGAAAAAAGAATCCCAATTCCCCTCCACTTTGATGACTATCATCTGGATGACTGGGATTCTACACACACATTCTCTTCTCTATCTGTTTGTGAACAAAGCTGGATGTATTGATCTTCTCACGGTGTTCTCACTTTTGGTCTGCTTGATTGTACGTAGGATCCAACTGATCCAGTTTCCACAGAAACCTGTAGTCGAGCAATGACGTGACTTTGAGAAAGCAACCGTTTGCTCAGAATTGCATTTGACTTCTGACGCTTAGTTCTGGTTCCATGTTTCCTTCTATCACAATGCTGCTGAGTGAGCAATGTCCTGCTGGAAACCTGAGGCACACCCAGCCACCATATATATGTATATATATATATATATATAACACCTGGCTGCAGGTTGATTTAGCTGAACACGCCTCTGAGAGGATCAAATCCAGCTGAGAGTTGTCTGAATGCTGCTTCTGTTGAAGGCTGCAACTCAAGTAAATCTGAGCTTTGTGCAAATGAGTTAACAGGTCATTGGCAGTTTAGTTTGCTGATCTAGAAATATTGCTTCTTCATTTTGCATGACTGAACTTCTTATCAATCAAATCAAATCTTAAAGCTTTCTATGTCCAGATTTATCTGCAGTTGTGACACATTTTCACTGTGGTCTCAGACTTTTGGATCCTATTGTGCGTATGCAGTGGTCATTTGAATGTAGTTCTCTACCTTCCAAGCATCCACCTCTTCAGCACATTTTTGTATGAAAATCAGCTTGTCTGCTTTGATTTGAAAGTTCAGATTGATCAAATAGAGATGAACTGCATTACCACAAAACTCCAAATTGAAACCAATTCATTGTGACAGATTATCTTCTTCTTTTGGATTGTTCCAAGGAAAAATTTACTAGAGGAGAAAATATTACATCTGCATGCATAATACTAACAGTATGTTGTATTGATATAATCACAAAATAGAGGAGTTAAATAATTATTTGGAGTGCATCCTGCAAATTTAGCATATGCAGGTTTTTGTAACTGATAGTGCACACTTGCAGTTTCTGTTACCTCCTGACTGAGCTTTTTTTTTTGTCACCAAGGCTTCTGGGAAGCATTAAACAGCAGTCTCATGGGGTCTGCTGCCACTCCACCAAATTCAACTTGAAAGCACTTCATAGGGTATTCATTAGCTGACTATTAGGGCTTTGCAGCTCCACGGTCCTGACTGTCATCACTTAGAGCGAGACTAGCAGGGACTCCAGACAAAACATGACTCATTTTTCCACTGTAAACATAATAACCCTCCATGAAACACAGCATTCAGCACATTAACACTGCTCCTACCTTTGGATTTCAGAGATACAGAGAGGAAATTAAAGCTCAGGGACCTTAATCCGTACGACAAACCCTGAACCACGATTAGGTTTAAAGAGATACAGATGAATACAGCGGCACCACCATTGGGAAAACATGTGGCAGCGACTGGAAAATGCCACATCAGGGGTTTCCTCATGAAGCGGTTAACCAGAGAAGAACCACCAACACCTTGCTTCTGTCACAAAGCCTAATTATCACCAAGAGCTCTTAATGTCAACCATCTGAGAGTTAGGACGGGGCAGCGTCACACTTTGGCAGCCTCACATGGTCGAGACAAGAACTGCAGTACTTCAGGGAATCAGCCGTAATGTCAGTAATTCAACCTCTGAGGAATAAGTAGGAAGATACAGTCAGAAGAAGTCACAGTTAGTCATGATTTCCTGCTCTACCACATGCGGATCAATTATGTATAGAATATAACAGCTTACAGTGATGGATAAAAAGACTGACCATTTTAGAAAATTGTTTTGACCCAGAAGGAATCGTGGCAAAAAGATGAGCTTGGTATCAAAATGTAGATAAGTATGGCACATTTTAGAAGCTATTGTGACCAAACACATACCCTACATGGTTAAAGGATCCTTTAAAGTTGACCCAAAATGCACTTTTTAAAGTTTTCTCCAGTAAACTAGTATAAAACAGACAACACATTCTGGTTACCAATGCTTGTTGCTGTTATTTTGCATCATAGACATTAAATTAGTGCAGTTGATTGATGCTCAAAAAACACAACTGTACACAAATGAGATTTTGGCTTTAGATTACAACACCAGGAGTGAAAGTAAAATCCATTTGTTTGGATTTTTTGAACCAGTGCTCAACCACCGAGTGCTGAAAAATTCATGTTTCTACTGCCTGTACCTATCAAGTTATGACGGTTCAGAAATGCTGGAAAAAATAGTAGGTTATGATGGCAAATGCTTCTTAATGCTACTTAAATAGATATAAGACTGAGAGTTTTTCAAACAGTATTCAAAAGACTTTGACAGCATTAGGAAAAACATTCTTAGGTCTGATGAGACACAAATATAACCCCTTTGGGAAGAACTTCAAGCACTGTATCTGGCAAACACCATCAATGCATGATGCATGGCAGTGGCAGCATCATCACTTTTCAGCATGACCCAAAGGAGCAACTTCAGAACAAGTCTGTGACTGACCTTGAGTGACTCAGCTGAAGCCCAAACCAGATAGAACATATGTTTAGAGCCCTAAGGATGGCACTTCACAGATGTTTTTCATCCAATCTGATGGAGAGGATCTGCTGGAAAAAAAAAGGCTGCCCAGGTGTGCAAAGTTTCTAGACACGAATGAAAACTTGAAGCTGTATTAAAACGTGCCACAACAAATGGGCCTCCTACTTATGAAGGTATGACAGCTCAGAAATGCTGGAAAAAATAATGAAAAAGCTCAATATTTACACTCAACTCTACATACTTCAAAGACCTGTAACTCTGAAAATATTCCTAGTATAAAGGTCACATTTTCCATGGTTTCTATAAAAATATATTAAAGTTATTGAAAAAAAAGAAAAGAAAAGAAAAGCTGATTCTGATGGGGTCAGGTCGAAAACTTTTTCAGATCTGGTTGTCTTTATGTGGAAAGCTCTGTAATATGAAAGGTGTCCTTGGTAATCAGTCCACAGAGAATTCTCCTCAGTTTTATGGGGCTTTTTAAGCCTTGTTTCACTCATCATTTTGCCTTTTGTGGTCCAAACATTCCCCTTTGATCAACCTTACTGCAGCTCTTATTAGTAAAAAAGCTGTGAAAACTGAAATGATTGCGCCACCTGCAGCAGCAGCAGACAGCCAAAGAATTGTGGAGCATTTAGGAGCTCAAAAGACAAATATTTTTGGACTTACATTTGTCAGGTGAACCCAAAAGACGACTCCAAATGAAGACCAATTTTGCAAACAGTATGCAAGCTGTATGCCGTAACAACTTGGTACAATTACAATATGTCACATGCTGAGCGTACAGTTTAGTTTTGGCGCCACTGATCATACATTGCATACGCTGTAAGCCAGTTGTACACAATGACTAGTTGGAGTGAGTTTCTTCCCACAAACAAACACATGCATTTGCAGAAACAGTGACTGTGTGTGTGAAATTTTGACGTTTCCAAGATGTTTCCTTGAAAGAACTCTGTCATTTGGGGCTTATTAGAGGACAAATAAGAGACAGTTGGTTGAATTACAGTTAATCGATTCCAGTGCACTCACAATGCATTTCATTTGTCTACAGGCAAACATTTGGTGGTTAAATATTTACTTTAGAAGCAATTTCAAGGATCAAATCACAAATTATTAGGAAATTATGGTAAGATGAGGCCCCAAGAGACTTTCATCAAATTTACTTTTTGCAAAATTGTCAGAGAATATGCATGATTATTGGTTTCCTGCGTAGAAATATAAACAGGTTTGTAGTTGTTTTTTTCTTTTTTGCTGTGTTATACATTGAGATGCAACTATTTATTATCAGACCAGTTTTATCTATGACATGGATAAGAGGCAAATAATTTAATATTTATCATCATATGATCCACTCTTATCTGAACCAACTTGACTCTGTGCTGCCTCGCTCTATGTCGACGCAGCTCTGCGTTCTGTCACAAAAACCTGAACTTGAAAAGCCTTAAACATCAATGAAGGGCTCATTTCCCAAATGTCAGATTTCCATTTTGTAAATATAAAAGCTTTGCTCGACTACACAGGCGGGCATCTGACCTTCAGAGCGACAATACAGAGGTGAGGACGACGGCAAAAGACCAGGCGAGACAAGAGCAGAAGAGAAAAAAAGACCATGTTTCTTTCTTATCACTTTCAGTTTTTTCAAACATTTCCAAAGACGAGTCAGTCTTCATACAAACATATGTCATTGCTTAAAGTTCCATAACTAAAGGTATAAAGGGAGTTACTGGATATTAAAAGGCATTGCTATGTACTGGGTAGAAAACGATTAATCATTGCTCCAACAAAAGATTTTCAAGGCAAAGGTTGAGAATTAGAAAGCGGATTGCTGGGTAAGACAATGTGGGTTCGGACCGGACAGTAAAAACAACACATGCATTGTACAAAAACTGCTCTAAATGGATGAGCACCAATAAAGCACGTTCTTCTACTCAGCAGAAAAAGCTTTAAATACAGTGTGGACTGTGATATTACAGACATCATGAAGCTTGCCGTTTTTTTTTTTTTCTTTCCTACATTTAAAAGCTACATATAACCAGGACACACACAGCTGCTACTGAATATGATGGTAATACATACTAATTTCTGTGCATTCCCATATATAGTACACTGTGGATGACCTTTAAAACTAAGTGACTATGTTTGCATCAGTCATAATGGCTTGATTAATGTGTGGTTTTGAAAGCAATGCACTCAGTATGTTCTTAAACTGAAGCTGCCGCAGTTAAATATTTGGCGCCGATACTTACAATTGTACTATTTTCCAGGAGCAGAGTGGTTGGTATTAATCAGCTTATCATCTCTGCAAGTCTAAACATACTTGTGGTACACAACAGAAGTGAGTCCACCCCTGTGCAATATCATTCAAATGTCAGTTGATTTAAAGTTGCATCACCTCTCAGTGTTTTTTCTCGGTTGATCAGTCAATTATTTCCTTTTATGAACAATCAAATGCAAATATTAAAAATACAGGCCCCAAAGCAGAAAGTCAATGCAACAAAACAAACAAACAAAAAAACAAAACAAAAAAAACCCTGTCATTTCAAAAAGCATGATAATGTTTGTAGGATGAGCTGTGAACACCAGAACTTTCTCAGTTTTGAAACTAACTAACCCTAACCCTTATACATCACAGCATATACTCTGTTCCATTTAGAAGTAGTCTGATTACTGCAAGGTGATACAATTTTGAAATATTTGACATTTTTGCACAGGGGTGTCTGCACTTTCTGTTGTATATTGTATAGCTTTTTTTTCTTTCTTTTTTTTTTTATTTTTTTTTTACAAAGTTTCCTGTCTAGGAGAAAAACTTTGACGGACCAGACTGAACTGCAGCTGACGAAGCTGCATTGTGGGTAATGTAGGAGCCAGCTTTTGACAAGGAAGAAGAATGCATGGAAGAAAAACGATAGCTCCGGGTCTGCTGCATTGATTTGAACACTGTAATAAAAGTGCAAAGTTATCAGAGGAGAACGCTGTTAAAAGACATATCCAGAGCAGCTTTTACACAACGAAGCAGGTGGCATCGTCGACATAGTGTTTCATGAGCTTGCTAACTATGGGCACAGCGACTGGCTGACAGGCAGTGTGATATAACACGTTTACAGGGGAGAGTGGAAGAAACAAATGTGACTATACAGTTAGAAGAAAGATGGATGGTAATGGTTGCTGTATTTACAGTGGGAGCTCTGACGGCTGAGGTCCAGGCTTCAGTGTTGTGAGATTGTTTTAACTTACTGAAGCTAACTACATCCCTGCTAAATCCACCACCTTTAAATGAAATGAGGCAATACTTTTTGTGATAGTTTAGGGTCATTATATTTTTCTAACACACTAACACTATAGCATCAGGGCCATTATGTGCAACATTGACCCTATTTTTCCTCTTGTATTGATACAATCTCCAGTAAAATCTAAAATGTCCCTTTATATTTTTCTTTTAGTGTTGTTTTTGAGTCTATTTTTCAGTAAAATGTGCTCCACATGTGTTTGTCGCAAGGCTTTAATAATTAATGTTATGTACTTCAGACTTAGAAAAGAATATGAGTCACTATATTACATATCCATTAAGTTCTACAGCAATTTGTGCTGTGAAAGAAACATGAAATCAAATAGGAGTAAGAATTTAGTATGTTGGATGATGATGGCAGCTAGATGGAGATACATGGATGTGAACATCAGGTGATGGTTTCTGGATTGTTGAGAGAAGTTGACTGTATTCAGGTTGAAGTCAATGAGAGGTGAGCTGAAATCAAAATGTCAAACTAAACTAGGATTTCCAACATCAGCACTGCATGAGAAGGATTCATTCATTCCAAAGTTAGCTGCGATTTTCAGTTGGGACTGAAGCTACAGACTCAGATGTTCGTTCGATTTGCTGCCTGTTCTTCCAAATTTACAGATCAGTTTACAAATCGAATCATTTCCTTGTTGCTGAAACAATACAGTGGTAATTATTAATGCTCATTTTGTCATCAGTTGATTCTTCAAGAATGTTTGATTGGCTAAAGTTGGGCTCATGCTACAGAGGTTTTAAAAAGATTTTAAAATCTGGTTGCATCACGCTCAAAGAAGAAATTTTAACATAACGACGCATCCCACACTGCAAGACAGGAGTGCAATGAATAATCAATGCAGCTGACAAAAATAAGGGACTATTTCCAGTGAATTAGCTGTCCATGAATCGATGATGTCACTGCCTGTTTTTGTGCTGTTGTGATTTTCGCAACTTTTTAACGTGATTAAATAAAGCTGGGTATCAAAAATTGCAGTGTTGTCGCTGCGATTCACATAAGCACAGATAAACATAAAGTACACAATAAGTACCTTTACTTTTATTGCCATTTAGCTTGTGCATAAAACAACCTCAAAGCGAAATTTAAAAGCTGATAGCAAGATACGAGCCATTTAGTAATTGTGCAATTTAGATTCAATAAATCGATTGATAATTCAACTGTTAAATATTTGTTAGTGCCACCCTACTACAAGATATTAAGATGATAGTGTCAAAGGGAGCAGACGGGAAGTAGTGTGCCGCCACAAACAAACACTAATAATACTTTGCATGTAGAAAAAGGCAAAAGCTAAATGAGTCTGGATGAGGAAAAAATGGGAGTTTAATTCAGTTTAAATATCTGTGGCTAAAGCGATCCTCAAGGGCTGAAATGTTTCACTCTGAGCAGTAGAGTGATAACCAGCCCAATAAACTTCAAACACGGTTGATATTAATCAAGGCGGCCTCGATGACTCTGTGAGGTGTTTGGGATTTTTCAGGTTGAATCTGTAAACACCTCACATTACTGACTAATCTCGCCTGAACGTGGGGTCATGAGGGGTGAATCGGGTGTAGATCTGCCCCTGTAGTCTGAGCCCAGCTTGAGCTCACACAGGTGGACGTCTCCAAGACAACATATCGCTCGGAAAGAAATTCTGCGTCGCTCTGCACTAACTACCACACACGAATGCCACCTGTGAAGACACTGATTGAGGATTTAAGTGTACACGTAGAGCCGCTGGTCTCCAACGGTGACACAACTCAACTTTGTTTAGACCTGCTGCTGTTTCCTGTCGCAACACCTGGTAATGAGATGTTTTCGGCTTCGTCGGCAACGCTGAAGGCCAGGGCGCAAAATGAAACCTCGAGGGTGGATGTTGCTCTAAAATATCGAGTTAAGCCCACTAAAATGCGGATGAATACTGACTCAGTTAAATATCGCACTTGCCTTTCACCTCACGTGACTTGGCTTTAGAAGCATGCTGATGATGATGATGGGTGAAGGTGTGATGGGAAAGTCGGTTGTTCATCTGTAGACCAGCTGGAGCTCCACGATAATAACAAAGAACTTTGGCTGTGAATAAACCTGTTGCGGAGTTGCAGGGGGAAATAACAGAGCTGGGAGAGAAGACAGCTTTACAGTAGGAGACGTGACAGCAGCCTGTTCTTTACAACCTCGCATGCACTGAGAGTCCTACTTCCATTAGTACTGCTGATTTCAAGTGATGTAACTGCGAGACAATATCCCTATCAAACTGTGGCGTAAGGCACCTTTTTACAAGTGCTACCTGTCACGCGTTTTCAAATAAAGTGTCTGACTACAAACAGTATAATAAGTCATTAACGACTACTGGCCAGCTGACAGTTACAGCACCAGTCTGAAGTCACATTAAATATGACAACATGAACATTTTAAAAAGAGAGAAAATATAAAACATGACAATATAAAAAAAGACCTGATTATTCAGTTTTAAAACTAGAAAGTAACAGTCATTTGGTTTCAAAGGAACCAGATGTTTTTCCTTTTTTTTTTTTTTTTTTTGCATATGTGCAGGCTCAGAGAAAAAACAATGATTTAAAAATAAAAAAGAAATTAAAACAACAACGATTTGACTTTAGTCAGATAAATAAAAATATAAAAAGCAAATCATCTCTGTGGTTTGATACATGTCACAGCATCTGTCATTTGGAGTTTGTATTCCAGGGAAGTCATTATTAAAGATAAAATGCGACTCCCCCGCTTTGATAAATAAGCATTTTCTCCATGATAGTACCTGCAACAGTACCTTTACAATATGTCGTGTCAATTCTCAGCATATTCCACCAATCAACTAATCAATCAATAAATAAGCCAGGCTGAGGGTTCAGAAGTTCTTGAAGATTTCCAAGTCCTTCTGAGGCACAGGAGGGTCTTTCTTCCAGTCGTCCTCTGGGTAGATGTCAAAGTTGGAAGTGTCGCCTTCATGAGAAACTTTAGGAACAATTGGGGGCTGTGGAGACGGAGCAGCAGACAAGAACGATGCAAGTCATACAATCAGTCTTAAGCTGAAATGATATGTTACTAAGAGAAACAGGGAGACTGAAAAGATCAGTTTGTAAAACAGAGATACCTTCAGCTTCCTCAGAGGAACTGCGTCCCAGTCAATTGTCTTGAACCACCGGTGCTTTTTCACATCGTCTGCTCCATTCTGAAACAAACAACATTTCTGTACACTTTAAACGAAATAACACAAACAAAAGCTTTACAGGCTCATATTTCACAACTCTTTCATTGAAAGAACAAGACATCATCTGTTGATTGTAGTTTGAATTCTGGTACAGAATGTGACTTCGTAGGTTCACACCGAGTCTACCAAGTATGGTCAAGTTTTTAAAGTATCTCATTTGTACATTTGCACAAGAAAACAGCATTTCCCAATTTGAGAAACCTTGATAAGCCCTTATTCTGGCTTTGAGAAACCTGTATAGCTTCGGCACTGAGCCAGCAGAAGAGGCAAAGCTGAGTGCAAGTTGGATGGGACCTTTGGGGAATATGGTTTACAGAGAATATGAAAAGAAATGCTGATTATCAAACTGTCTCTCCTGCAGCCGTTGCTTGTCGAGCAACAAAATGTAAGAGCTTAGTTTGCACAGATGTAAGAACCTGCAAGAGACCTGGTGTAGATCCAGTTTGAGATGTCTACAAAAGCATCACAATTAGACAAAAACTATCAAGACGACAATGATTCTGAAGAAGCCAACAATCATAAGCTCAAATAAATGATTGTATGACTGGAAAGAATAAAAAGAATAATGCCCACAAAAGGCTTCTTTTAGCAGACAAACAATAGCAGCAGCAACAAAGAAAAATAATTTCTGGAAAGAAAGAGGTCAACCTTAATTACAGTGTGTTCAAAACCTGGGTAAGCCTCATAACCAGGACACTCATTAGTTGATATTAAAATTGATTTGACAGCCTGCCAGGGTTTGGTGAACATATAAAGATTAACTGCGATGGCCAGAAAAAAGCGTTTTTATAGTCAGGTCATGTGTGTGAGTTGTGTGCTGCAGGGCGTTTATTGACAGTAAAAGCTGCAATGAGGAGACACTGTCCGTAGTCTGCCTTTCAGTGGACACTCAATGTATCTCAGGACACTATAAACACTGTCCCACAACAACAATAGGTGGTTTGTCTGGACTTCATAGTGTACGATTTGATAGAGCTTAAAATTGTAATCACTTCATAAATTGATGATAATATATTATACTAAAAATACAAGTAAGTTAAATGAATAACAAGATGATCAAACTTGGCATTTCCTTTTTCTTTTTTTTTTTTTTTGGATCCTATAAATTAAATAATAATTGAATTCGAAAATGAATTGCCTAAAAACAATCCCAGTACAGCAGCAGGTGCTCTGACAGGCCAGATTCAACACTCAGCTCCCACTAATATGCAACATCTGGCCAATCAGATGTCCTGCTGCTGCTCTGTGTGGCCTGGACTTAATTGAAATTTAAGTTAACTGATCTGAACTCTGTGTGTGTGTGTTGCTGACATGCAGTGTGTTCAGAAAGTATTCAGGGCCTTTACTTTTTTGTTTTGGCTATGTTGCCTTTTGGTAAAATCATTTAAAATATCTGAGTTTTCCAATTAGTCTGCACTCTATCCCATAGTCACAATGCAAAAGAGGACATTCAGAACTTTTGGGCAAATTTCTGAAAAGAAAAACTGAACTATTACATTGATACAGGTATTTAGACACTTTTAGACCCAGTTGTTGTAAGACATTTTCGGGCCCAATTGGGATCAAGTCAGGCCATTCTCCTGTTAGAAAAGGAACCTTCAACCAGTGTGAGGTCAGGAACACTCCCGAACAGGTTTTCATGATGGATCTTTTGCTCTCTCTCCCTGTCCCTGTCACTAAAAAACATCCCTATGTCAATGATGCTGCCACCACCGTGCTTCACAATTAGAATGGTATTTGGTAGGAGATGAGCAGTGCTTGGGGCTGCAAGGTGGCGCAGTTGGTAGCACTGTAGCCTCGCAGCAAGAAGGTCGCCCGTTCGCGTCCCGGTGGGGGCACCGGGATCTTTCTGCGTGGAGTTTGCACGTTCTCCCCCTGCAGCGTGGGTTCTCTCCGGGTTCTCCGGCTTCCTCCCACACAGTTGGTGATTCTAAATTGTCCGTAGGTGTGAATGTGAGTGTGCTTGGTTGTCTGCCTCTAAGTGTAGCCCTGTGATAGACTGTTGACCTGTCCAGGGTGTCCCCTGCCTTCGCCCTAAGTCAGCTGGGATAGGCTCCAGCCCCCCACGACCCAAGTGAGGATTAAGCGGTGTATGGAGGATGGATGGATGAGCAGTGCTTGGTTTACTATTCAGACATGTAGAGTGTGATTCTTATTACCTGACAGTTTCGGTGACAACGCTCGCCTTCTTCAGAGATGACACTGACAGCGGGTGACGTGTCAGCCGGCAGATTTTGACAGTCGGCACCTGTGGCACGCCCAGCAGAGCCGCCAGATCTGCTGGGCAAGCCACGCCCACACCGAAATTGTGTGTTATGGCGAACCCAACAGACCTGACCGCCCCGCCAGGCGTGCCACACTCCCCCGCCGGTTACTTTTTCTGGAGCAGGGAGTCCCAAGCGTGCGAAAGCAAGAAGCTCCCTTCGTCCCTGTTCTTGGTCCTCTCAGCGCGCTTTCTGATATCAATTGCCTCTCTGATCCATCGTTTGTGTCTGTCCTGTTCAATCCCGATTATGCTTGCCCCGTCCCAGTCAATGATGTGAATGTTTGTTTTACAGTGGTCCGATATAGGTGATTTGTTCTTGTAGTGCTGTTTCTTTTTGTGCGCTTGTGAGTCGTGTGGCTGTTTCCTTTTCACATTCCTTCTGGTGTTCTTTCTTCCTGGTGTAAAATGGTCTGCCTGTCTCCCCGATGTATGTGTTATTGCAGGACTTGCATGGAATTTCGTATATGACATTGCACTTTTGTTCTCCCTCGATCTTGTCCTTGGGGTGTACCAGCAGTTGACGTAGTTTTGTGTGTGGTTTTATTGCAGTGCTGATGTCGTGTTTTTTCATGATGCGCTGTATCGGTTCTGTTATCCCCTGGATGTATGCTAGTGTTACTATGGTTTTGTTGTTGTCCTTGG